TGAAGGAGCCCTTTCCCATTTCAGCTGCCTCCTTCTCAAATTTTTCGATGGTTCTTTTGTCGATCCCACCACACTTGTAGATCAGATGGCCAGTAGTAGTGGACTTGCCGGAATCTACGTGTCCGATGACGACGATGTTGATGTGAGTCTTTTCCTTCCCCGTTTTGGCTTTTATGGGTGGTTTTCACGGCACCTGTGTTCTGGCGGCAAACCCGGTGTGAAAAAGCAAAATTTTTGAAAGATAATCACAAGCCAAACAGTGCGTTTGAAAGACTGAGGATTTTGAAGCTGAAGTGAAAGGAAAAAAAAAAAAAGATCGAGGATGCACCTTCACAAGAAAAATAAAACGAGAAATGTCAAAGTGAAACATCAGAGATATCAACTGTCAAACTTGGTACTTAAGGAAATCGGACGTTTCATACTTTAATACCTTTGCGAAATGACTGCTGGATAATCTTTTGACGTATCTGAACATAGATTTTTGGGTTTTTTTTTTTTTTTTTAACATAGTTGTAATCATATGGATGGATTTTCAACCTAATTCTTTAACAGTTCATTCTGCAGCTGCGTGTGATGCCAGCACTGCCTTCCTTCATCTCTGGCTGGATTCTCAGCGTGGTGCCCTCCTGCCTGCCTGCGCAGCCCCCAGAGAGCCCACCTGTGGGGGTCGGGGCACTGCTGAGAGCTGGGCTGCCTTATTGGGTGGGGTGGGGGGGTGAAGGGCCCTGAGATGTGGCTAAAACATTCTTTGAAATCTGGAAACTCATCTCTTTGAATACACATTTTAAAATGTGTTTTATCCATTGCCATTGTATAAGTGAATAATCATAGAGACAGAAATAAGTGGGGTTTGTGTGCTTTGTGGATTGCAGTGCACCTTCACGTGTGTTCGTCTTGCACTCGATGGAAGGTGTGATACCACTGTAGATGCTACTGGCTGTGACCCTCGGGGAACCTGGAGATAGGTGGTGTATGGTCCCCAAGTGAATCAACTGATCCTCAGGTCAGTGGCATATGGAAGGTCAAACAGCTGTGAATACGCAGGGTCCTTCTCACTGCTCTCTCTCACCCTGGACAAAGGGTATCAAAAGTGAGGGTATTGGCTGTTACTACTTACCCTGGAGGAGAACAGAAGAATGAAGTGCTTCCATGGAATTGGTAAGTCTTCAGTGTTGGACGCTGATGGCGAAGCGTTCACTGCATTACGGAGTGCTTTGATACTTGGGTAGGAGTTCTGTGGGGCCATCCGGCCAGGGGGCTCTATTTTCATTTACTGAGGAGATTACAGTGTGTGGATATTGAGTGACTCGCCCACAGTCAGGGCGAGTTAGCGCTGAGAGGAAGGCAGACCCAGGGCTCCGACTCCTGCCCACAGAGGGACTGCTGTGTGTGACTCGTCACCTTTGTGATGTAATGTGACATATCGTTCCTCTAAGAATAAGCAGTAGCACTTTGTGTTTCATGGGTTGCTGCTAACTTTGCTGGGTGGATCTCTCTGCG